TCGAACCGCAACGATGCAGATCGTTAAAACCACGATTCGCTACCTTTGTATTTAGACGACCACAAAGATCGACTGAGTATGGTAGCCGACCGACAGAAGTCACTATGGAGAATGGATGGAAGCTGGCAGTAGTCACGTGATAATTCAACCGGATTCTCCGTTTGAATCCAGACCTACAGGCTCTGTACCTGGAGATCAACCGCAGTCTCCCCGGACGACATCAAAACCAGCCGATTCACCGGTGACCACGACTACGCGCGTCTTTGAACGTGCTGCCATTCCCTGAAGAGGAACAGCGACGGTGATTTGGATACTGGTGTACCAACGACTCCGCCGACCTGCTTCCCCATGTCTCCAATGGAACATCCTAGGCAGACCCAGTTAGAATACTTGATCTGCACCCCCTTAACGAACCCCGATGACGATGACCACCTGCCCGCAACAGTACCGGCCAGTCGGTCTTCGTCAGCGGCAAAGAAAATTTCCCCGTGGACGTGAGTCGTCTACCCCCAACAGAAGCGGCTAGGCGTCACAGGTTCGCGACAAAACAAAATGGAAGAATCAGATCTGACGACCTCAGGGACTTGCATGTGCATGAAGTTTAAACCAAAGAGCTCGACTTCGCAACCGGGGCCACAAAGACCCTTAGTGTTGTAGGTCAGCACAACTGCATGATGAAGCGCCAGTCACCCGGCCAACAGATGCCGGAGGAAATTCTTACCTTGCAGGACTTGGCGGCCTAGAAGCAAGTTATTCGGATTAACCGACCTCAACAGTAGCTCGGATCCGACCCGGAGTTCATGTCAGGAACCACAGAAGGAACGGAGTTGTGCTGCCGAACATCCCTCTGCCAGTGCGAACTGACCGTGGGATGTCCTGACACCAAGGACCCGGCCAACTGTAGCCGAACGCACAGAACTCCTAGAATAAAGTTGACAACCACCAGATGGAGGTCGGAAGTAAGCGACAACAGCTCGGAAAACCAACCAGAAGTACGAAATCGACCTCTCAGTGGAAGAACTTACATTCCCGGCGGATAGACACAAAGTTTATCCGACCTGGGGAAGTCGGAAAATAACTGACCTTCGAACTCGGACATGGATATCCGACCTCAAGCCGAGGTCGGAACCGACTGCATAGAAGTCGGGAGGGTACGACAACAAGTCGGCAAAGGCATTTAGAAGTCGAGAATCGACCTCCTAACGGAAAAATCCGACCTTCGAACGGATGAAGACTCAGTTCATCCGACCTCCCGAAGTCGACCATAGATCAAGAGATGTCGGAAGTCGGCAATTTAGTCAACATGACGGAAGAAGAACGATAGATATCTGCAGTGGACGAACTCGACTTGAAGGAACTTGTTTAGCCCCACATGGGCATGTCATTGCAGGTTAACCCTAGTCGACCACTGACGGATCGGATAACCGACCTCGACAGAAGGTCGGATAACAACGGAACAGATTGGATGGAAGTCGACCTGGACACTTCCATCGTCGAAACCCATCAAAATTCCGACCGGACCTTCGAGCCAGTTCGACTCGGATAACCCTTAACCAGGCTCGTGGTAGCAGATTGAACGGTTGTAACCGACCACTTTATGAACGGAACTGCTGTACATGACGACCACAAAGGCCGCATGACTTACACACAGCTCTTTCCGACCTGGACTTCAGTAATTCGGAACATAGCCGAATTTCTCCAGCCGCCGGTCGACTTACCGGTAGGCCGACCTTGGTCAAACCAACCTCGGCCCTATTCCCCATTCAGAGAGGATGCTTCGGCATTTGCAATTGCAACAGTGCCTCTCTATCCCGAACGGACGGATACGAGTCGGAAGTAAGTGTTTAACCGTGCTTATCCGACCTCGGTGAATTTAACCGGTTACGACGGGTAACCCGGGAACCGATGCCCCGGACTCAACTTACCGGATGAAAGTGGACAGGAGACCCCGTGGAGACTCAACTGCCCCGTGGACGTCATCCTAGTCGGAATAGGACCCCCGGACAGATTTTTTGCATTTTTTTTAGCATTTTTCCTAACAAACGGAATTGTATTTTTCTAGTTCGATCTCTTTAACAGATCTGTTTTTGTAACCCCTTTTGCTCACTGGAATTGTGATTAAACTTTACTTCATACTTTCTTTCGCGCTGTATACAACCATTACACTTTTCTTTCACATTGTTCTCCGTTGCCAACAGAAGCAAGAAGCCAGCCAACAGAAGCAACACCGGTCCAACGAAACGCCCGGCTTCCGGATTTTTCGGCCGTGAGTGGCTTCCCACTCATGGGTTCGGAAGTGAAGAAGGGACGGTCGACCAGACACCGGACTCCCACTGCTAGAGGACGCGTACCAGCGACCCCACATTGGGTCCGACTGGAGAGTTGTGCGGTACTGGTGCGGTACCGAGTCGGAGCATCCTTCGCAGGAGCTCGGATTCCCGCCCAGAGGCATGTCAGAGGCACATGACTGCGCCTGGTGCATACGGCCCACCATGGTCGTATTAGCACTCATGCTTGCCATATCGCCTCTCTCGCTGTACGTACGTGCTGCTGACCTGCACTCATCCGCTGAAGCGGATATATGCGGCACACACTGAGCATACTTGCTCTCTCGTCCCTCTCTCGCTGTATGACTCAGCGCACGCTCGCGTTGGATTGAGTCCAGTCTGCGCATCATCACACAGCTGATGGCACACAGCACGTGCTTGCCGCCAGTTGCTTCTTTCACGCCTTGACGAACGCTCAAGAGCTCTTCTAGCATTCACTTGCTTGTTTAGCCATCAGTGCTTTTGTTCTTGCATTCCCTGCTATTACGCAGCATTGTTCCTTTATTTGTACAATAAAGCATCACTCGTGATCTCCTCGCGCTTGCCTGTTACATTGTTCACTAGTGTGCCCGCGCATAAAATTTTTGTTATGTTGAGGGCTGATGCCTATTAAAGCGATAAACAAGGAAAGCTGACACTACAAATAAAGGCAAAAGTACTCGTCAGCCCTGGGAAAAGGTCTCAAACTGACAGTAATGCAGTAAAAGCATTTGCTCACTCAAATTCACCCAGCATTGCTCTCCTGGCTTCCGGTCGATGAAAAGTATCCCATGCGCAGACGGTAGATAGTGGTCAGTGATGACTGTGGTAATAATGTCACGGTTTACGGAGCAACAACAAGCATATAGCGTTCAGTGCACGCCTCCAGCTGACTCTTCTTATAGCTTATTTTTGAGGTTCCGCAGTTTCTTTGAAGTACACTGAAAACGGGGCTGAACCACGGGTCGAAATCGTTATCTCCGTCGGAAAATACCTTTCTCATTCGCCGCCGGCAGCCCATTGCAATACGACCTGCCGATTCTGATGTTAATTTCTGAGGATCACCCTGTTCGGTACGAGATCCCGCAGCTGCCTCTCCAGATTCGTTTGCGACCGGAAGCGGAAGACGTGACACTGAACCCGAATCTGGAGCTGGTTATCCGCGATGCGGCACTGTTTCAGCATCAATCTGCCACCTAACGTTAGCTCCCACTCCCAGGCCAGGGAGGTCACGCGTTTTACGATTTGGTCGACAGGACTGCACTCTATTTGGAAACTGCAGCGGTAGAAGACCAGCAGGAGGCGACGGGCTTTCACAAGAGGGGCGCTCAACGCGGCCAGTTCACGACCGTTGCATAAATTCAGCTCCGAGATAATCACCAACTTGGTGCGACGGTTGAGACATTTCAGCAGACCAGAAACCTCCCAAAATGTGTTCTTGATGGTGACGTGCCAGTCGGCGTCATAACAGCCGTTGCAGCCGGCCAGGCGCACATCGGGGAAGTTGGCCCCCGTGGTGAGAAGGGTGTTCCACAGGGGACCGACACGCCGACAGGGAAAGCGCTCGATGGAATCCAGCGAATGGAAGACCTCTTCCAACAACTCAGCGGGCAACGGCATGCCTGTTTGATGACTGCTGTCAGATTCCGGCGTTTTGCTAGGCGTATTTACCGACCAGCGGCGCCACATCTACCAACAGGACTGTAATCTACTGTAGCCACAGTGCTTCTCGCGTCTTGCATCGTTGCAATCATCGCATCGCATCGTCTCGCTCGTTGCGTTGCAATCTTTGGCCTGCATAAACCAAAGTGTTAATCGTCAGCAGAATCTCGGAAGCTATGGTCACGTTTCGGTGGCAAATCGATTGTATTAAAGCGGATGAATGCTGTCTAAGCGGATCACGATGTGTGACTATCTGTTCTGACCAGCTTGCCACGAGCGTAGCATGAATAGACACATTATCGGAAGCTGCCCAATCTATTTCTACCAACCTAATTTTGTTTCTTCCTCCGTTTTTACGGGACGATGTTCTAATAACTTATGCCTGCGGTCTGGCCGCACAGTACAGTGGTGTTTCTCGATTCTGGTTACCGTAATCATAGCTGCTTCGTGACCTCGCATCCCTTTCCAACCTGAGCAGTCGCTTGCTCCCTGGAAGCGCTGCATAAGCAATTCCAGTTGAGATACTTTAAGAGCATCATTTTAATATCGTGTCAGGGCGGGCTTGTGGCTGAGCTTTGATGATTTCCTGTTCTCTGTTTTTTGGGGATTTCCACGCCACATTTCGATGATGTTTTGATGAATCTCTAGCACAGTTGCACTGACTGCAGATCCCGCTTGTGTCAGTTGTGTGGATTTTAATGTTGTGGCAACATCGCCAACAAAGTCGATGTTTACGGCGTTCCAACTGTACACGTCGTTTGCTCTGGGAGATGACAATGATATACCGTGGCGAGGCTTTCGAAAAATTCTCTGCTTGCAGGATCGAAAAAAATCAGATAAAATTATTCCCAAGCCGACCAGCGCATGAGGGTTCTCGCAGAAAATTTATCTATGCAATTCGAAAATCAGAAACGCCAACTGAGAAACTTAAACAAATTACAATTCACATTTCACAGCAGTGCACTTGCAAATTTCCTTGTAGAGCACATTTTTCTGTACATTTTCGTGAAAATCCTGGGATTTTCGTTAGAATCCCATTATTCAAGAATCGTCAGGGAGCAATGTGAATATGCACAGTTATTAAGTTACAGACGCTGAAAACAACAAAGTGCAAGTGCGATTCGTACAGAAATTACGCTACATCATCGAGGTCACTGATTCCGCTTTCAAGCTACAACGTCATCAATCTATGGCATTAGTGAGTCGGCGAAGTCCGCCTGGACAGGCGACCGGGCGCCGTAAAACGCATTTAATCAAGGGAGCAGACAGAAATTCGTTAGACACACGCTCTGTCTAACTCTGTACTCTTGATTAAAAGCGGTGCCCGTTTTACGGTTTACGGCGGACTTCGCCGACTCACTATTAAATTGCGCTGGCAGCAGTCTCGATGTTGATACTACGGGGCAGCGTACGTCTAAATTTATGGATGGCAAAAACTTGGCGAAGTCGACTTGAAAACTTGAGTTATTGCGAAAAACTTGGGGAAGAGAAGTCAAGTTAAATTCTTAGAACTTATCCTTTCAAACCAAGTTACTACTCAAGTCGACTTGGAAAGGGAAACCGAGTCCCCAAATTCATTTTCCAGTCGACTTGAAAGACTTTTACAATAATTAGAAAATATTCAAAGCGGTTTAAGCAAAAGGACCAGTTTAAACATTTTTCCGTTTAAATTACTAGCGCTTAGTGCTGTTTTCTCCACGACTGTCTTATCTTTTTGCCCTACTACGCGCACCTCTCCCGGCAATTACGTTGACATCTGTAGTCTATGGATGCTGGTAGCGCGCACCAAGTTAAAAAAGTATGACCGGCTGTCAGCTATCGAAAAAACGCAGTACTATTAGCACGCATAGTAAAGAAAAATTTAAGTCGACTCCAAGTTATTAACTTGGTTTGGACTTTCAAGCTAAGTATTGCAAGCTGACTTGGGTTTCTAAGCATTTTTAAAAAAATTTACTTGTCGAAAAAACCGATCAAAAGTCAAGTGAAGTGGAAAACAAGTTTTTGCCATCCCTACGTCTAATCCGCCCAGTGCCTCCAGTACCCTCCGGGAAACGGATCCTCAGCCGACTGCATCGAGAACGGCGCTCAAGACTACCGTCGTGATGGTCGTCAGCTGGCTGAAATCCACCTCGACGAGATCGGCCATCGTCCACTCCCGATCGCGGTAATGCGTGGTCTCGCGCGGATCCACCCTCTGGTCATAATTAAGCACCTACACGCATAAGCTAGTTGACTAATTTCACTGCCAATATTAGCAGAACACCACAAAACCACTTCCCTCGACAATGCGCTCGTCGATATCCGCCGTGTGTTTATGAGCGATGTAATCCGCAAACGATGCTGACAGCGCCGGCCGATCCAGCGGCTTCTTGAGGAGCAGATTGCGTTCGAACAGATCCCACATCTTCTCTTCCAACTCCTCCCTGACCAGTTTCCCATACAAGAACTGTTCCGTTACAACGGCCTGTATGTGGTATCCATGCACGCGGCACTGCTTCCAGCGGATTCTCTGGTACACCGCCAAGTCCATAACCATATCCGTCATGCGCATGACGACCTCTTCCATGTAGTCACCGTCATCGGCGATGTCGCACTGGTAGCAGACCAGCGTCGGCACGTTGGGCGATTTTCCGAGCTTGTTAATAAGTGTCTGCAAATCCCCCAGGATGTCATTCCAGCCCACCTCCTTCAGGATGATGATCTTGGTGGCGTGGTTGGGGAATTTCAGCAGACACGCCAGCAGCCAGTACATTTCATCTGTGTGCTCCTCGTAGTACCGGCCTGAGACGTGCACGTCGGGGAAGTAGGCGTCCGTGGTGAGAACCGTGTTCCACAACTGACAGACTCGCCGACAGCGGACGCGCCCGACAGAGTCCAACGACTGAAAGACCTCCACCAGCAGCTCAACGGGCAACGGCAGATGTATGCCGCCAACAGGACGCTTCCAATTTTTCTGATCGATACCCTTCCTGTTTTGACGGAGTGTTCGTTGCGCTGCCCAAGACAAGCAACCACTCTCCACGTCGATTCGCGCCTCGTGGTAGGCAGCTTCCTGCGACAAGGATATTCATTTTTTATTCGTTAATTTTTTTTGTTGAAATTAACCCCAGAATTATTGATTTCTAGAAAATGGATACCTTTTCTATCCTTTGATTACTGCAACGCTGGAAGTTTACGCCCTGGTATTTAGCGAATTTGTACATACATGTTATGGGTCGGAAAATTCGGGATTTAACGGGAGAAGCGTGTTCCACTGCTTTTTTAAAGCAACTGATTTGACTTTTGAGTACTGTACCTTTTACCCAAAGAAAACAAAAGCTCTTTTTAACTATTTAAGTATAAACTGTATACATATTCAGATATTGATTACCGTAATCAAAATCCATTTCAATGAAATGATTTCACACTTTTATTTTTTCGTTTTCTGCCTTCGGAGATATGTGGGGTTCAATAGGGTTAATTAATCGTTAAAGTTAATCTATCTAAAATCTTCTGTATATTTAGAGGTTAATGAAGTTATGTAATTATTATTTAAATGTACAGAAAAGTTTAAGTAATTGAAATTTCACTAGAATGTAATAGGGTTGTAGACGGTTTATTTCTTTCAATTGCATCCTTTGATCCTTACCACTTGCTCAACTGTCAGAGGAACCGCGGCTCGACACTGCAGATAGAGAAGCGCCTGGCTGAGCAGCGCGGTGCAGAAGATATTACGGCGTTGGTTCAGATCGCACTGCAACACCTCCCTGAGGCGCTGCGACCCCTCGGACCAGAAGGCGGGGGGAAGTGGGCACGAGCGGACGACAAAATCCTCCTTCATCACGAGATGCTGGCACAACTCCGCGTCCGTGGGCAGCGGACGCACCTGGCCGGGCAGTACCAGCTCGTTAACAGTGCCGTCGGCCAGCTGCACTTCCACCCATACTGCGTCATCGTAGTGTTCCACCGCCAGGGGCAGGATCCGGCCCGGATACCAAATCCAGGCGCCGTCGGGACCACGGCGCAGCAGCACCTGCTCGTCTTCACCAGAACTCCAGAACAGCTTGTACTGGCTGCAGCGGAAGATACGACCGTATTCGATGAACTGCGAGCGCTGCGCGGGACACTGGAAATTTATCATCAGGCCGCCTTCCACCACGTTGATCACATGCCCGTGTTGCAGCTGGCCGTCGTTTACCAGGACGTCCACGGCGTTCCACGCGGATTTGTCGTTCGCGTACAACAGCATGGCGCAGTTCAAAAGCGCGCTCCAATGGATCCCAGATTTGTTGTGGGATTTACGATCACTGCTAGACAGCAAACGATAAGGGAGACGGATACAGAGATGGTTGAACCCCGCAGAATATCATGCAAATAAATCTGTCCAAAGAATTTTTGTTCGTCGCATTCTCTGATTCTCAGTCACTCAGTAATCAGTATAACTGGCAAGTTGGCAACCTACTACAGACACAGTACGTGTTCATTCCTGCATCAGGACGTTGGAACGTAACATCCCCCATTGGGCGGCATACATTTTCTCAGCACCTGGCGATTCTTTTTATACTTACATGTAATTTTTATTCCTGATCTTCTGTTGTCTTTTTTTCGAAATAATTTTTCTTCAATAGAAGTACATAATTTTCGAACACAGTCTTAAGAAAACTTCACTTATCACTCAGCATCGGTTTGTCCGTACCGCGGTGCCGGATGGTATTCCCATTGTCGACGCATATGCCAACGACCAAGATGAGTGTTAAAAAAGCCCGGTTCGGCATTCTCAACACGGGCACGTGAAAGTGAACAGGCAACGTGTTAGTCCTTTCTACTTGATTTAAAACCTAGCCGCAGCAGTGCTGCAACGGCTGCTAATGGGACATATGCGAAGTACAGCGGATCAGTACAGAGCGGTATGGTGCATTGTTGGTCGGCGAACGTGGATGGGTGGCTTCGTTATTCGTGCAAATTGTATTCTGTTGCCAAACGAGCTTGCCCAATGAATTATGCATGTGCAGATTGTAGCGGCGATGTCGTTAATTACCTGTAGGACAACCTTACAGCGCTACGTGAATCGTAAATGCCATGATACGGTATGCCGGCTTAATCAAATCATGCCGCTAACAATCTTGCACTGTGACAGCCGACCTGCCCGCCATTTCGGTTCCCGATCTTCTCCACTAGCTTCTTAATACCGTCGCTCCATGGGACACCATAATTCTCGAAATTTAATATTGTTTTGCGGCTTCAACAGCGTGTGACTAATTTGCCGGTTTACTCTGCAGTCGTCAGTGAGTACGGCGTTCCGACTTCACCGTTTAAATGGGAGCGCCTAGTGCCTCTCATTGCGGTATTAGGTCCAGATTTCGTGGTAGATAGTCCATTCTTAGTGACCATCTGGAACGAGATCGCCAATGTTCCTCTTCTTTTTGCACGCGTCGTGGATCCAGCTCCATCCGTGCATTAGGTTGCAGGCAATAAAATGCAGTTTTCAGTCTGAATTTAGGACAAACACCTCTGCTCGTCGTGTAGAATAACAATCACATTTTTCATCCGATACCGCAGTAACTTATCCGATACTTATGTTATCGTTGCAATATCGTACGAGTGGCGTGTACTAGTACTACATGAATTGGATGTAATCATGTAAAGGATGTATTACACGACTGGATGGATCTTTGGTTTGGAAGTTTTCATGACGTAGTATTGCAAGTACTTAGTAAGTACTGGATATTTCTAGAGTGATTGCATTGTCGCAAACGTATGCGCTGGTCTTTCCCTACGAGTATCATTTGTATCGGCCGTTATGACTTACCGGCACTCTCTTAAAGAGGTTCAGCCTCTTCCAGTTCCAGAAGAACTGGAAACCTGACCGCTGCCGCATAACAGGAGAGTCTATTGTAGTGGATCATTGGTCAGGTTTTCGATTCTTCTCTACCTATGTGCTTCAATTGAGGCGGCGAGCCCCTGTAAACCCAAGGATGAGGAGGAGTCTACCCGACAAAAGGAGTGCTATTAGCACTCCTGATAGTATTGGCGTTATTAGCGCTCCTGCTGTCAGGTACGCCAGCTATTTACAAGACGCATGTCCGGGCAAGTGCGAGCGCATCCGGTAGCGTTGCACATCTGGCCGAAGACAGTAAACGCCGTAAATATTCCTACGTGGAAAGGATGGGTTACCTGTTTCTCCCCTTGGCAGTCGAAACCTTCGGCATATTTGGATCTGCTTTTATGGAGCTTATTCGTTTCGCTGGCAGAAAGATTCGCGACGTGACAGGGGAACCTCGTTCTACTGCATTTTTGAAGCAGAGATTTAGTCTAGCTTTAGTGAAAGGAAATGCTGCTGCTGTTTTGGGCACCTGGAATATGCGTCCTACTCTAGGATTTTTGACGGCGATAACGATTTTGGCTGCTTTTTTAACGTTTAAATTTGAATCATTTTAAGTAGTATTACGCGAATGCACTTTTTGTAACATTGATGGCCTTTGCCCAATAAAAGAGAAACAGATACTGGTTCTTCGAGATTTAAATTTAGGCGAATGTCGCCGTCTAACCAGCCTGATCCAACAGATCCTGAGCGGTCTTCGTGTACCGTGGCTGGCGTTGTACGACTACGACCGCTATTTCTCTGTTATGTTTTGTTGTACCGATGGGATTGCCAACCACTTGGCTTGGCCGCGATATAAAGCAATCGGGCTGAAGCACTGCTGAGTCGCCGATACCGACGTCGGAGCCCTGATTCCGCAGTGCGATTTCCTGGCCATGGTCCCACCGAGGCGGGATATGGAGATACAGCTGCGGGATCTCAGTTAGGGATTTAATAATACACACTTCCCTCACTCCCCCAGTGGGCTGTGGTAGAGGCCCAGCATTTTTATGAAGTAGCTACGTATACGGATATGTAATCTTATATCAGTAACCTTATGACACATGAAGAGTAGCGCGACGTCGACGTGCTATTTTCCGAAAATGACGCTTGAGTTGCTATGTTCTTGCGGTTTTGGAGTTTCGCTCTAATAACGATAGAAAAGCAACGATTATTTTGGACCGCTTGTTTTATAATTGAATAAGCTAACGGCAAAATAGCTAGCGACTATTTTTACGCAGTGTGCGGCAAAATAGCCACTTCGATTAAGTAAATACACAGATCCATGAAGGTTCACGCAAAATGAACCGGCTATTGATGTTATAGTGTTAGTGCAGGTTTTTTGTCAAAAATACAGAAAAACCTAAGGCATACTCGAATTTCCAGTAGGAAAGCCATGAATTTTTATTATTTAGAGGTTTTTTTTGGGGCGCCTTTACATCACGATGACCACCGTGACAAAGCGTATAGTACTCATCTAATTTTCGTTTAGCCACGACAAACTAAAATAACATCGACCGCTACAGATAAAACAATTTCTTTAAAACAATGGTAGTATAAGTACTATCGGTTACCAAAGATAAGATTGTTCTAAATTTACACGCGTAATATGTGCCCTGGTTAGGTGGGCAACAAAAGAAGAGGCAACATGATGTCTTTCCTGGTACAGTTGTGCTTCATGTGAATGCCTTCGCGCAGTGTTCCGAGTAACCCTGTACAACGAGTTTAACAGCCTGTGTAAGGTGGTTTTGTTAAGGATCTAAAAATTAGGATTGCAGGATAAAAATTCGTTTCTTTAATTCCGTTGTCCAAGCGTTACTTGATGGCATATGATTACGATAACAAAAAATTAATTGACAACGACCAGATCACTGTGTGACCCGATGGCAGATTAAATTTAAATGGAACACTTTGCCAAAGCGAATGCGTATGCCATAGGCAGGCTAGGAAGAGCTTGGCCCTTATGGTAAGGTATTCTGATCAGATAGCCAGAATATATGAACAGCTTAGAAAACGTTAATTTTACCCGTTTTAAACTTTTAATACAAAGCTCTAGCATCATCCCCTGTGGCGCACAAAACAGTTTTTCTGAAATGGAAAGAGTCGGTGTGACAAAAGTGCTACAGTATAAATTTCATGGGTAGCAGAAGAGGCTACCAAAAAAGCAGAACTGATCAGACAGGCACTCAGCACCCATACTGTAATCTCGAATGTACAAATAAATTAATGAGATAATAATAATAAGTGGTTTAATGTCCTTAGCTACGAGACGTCGCCTCCTTTTAGGCTAGGACAGGGAATCATGAAGAAGAAATAACAAAAAAAAACATGACATTGGGAAAGGAAACAATAGTTAAATTACCAGAACAAGATTGTATTTGCAGTTACATTCACAAGTTGTCATCGGCAGTTTTGCGACAGTAATTTTACATTAGGGATACGTTTCCGGTTTCTCAAGAAAGCTAAACTTTAGGGACAAACAAAGGATGATTTTTGATCGAAGGAAGGTTTATCAAATCAATTCGATCTAGTGCACTGTGGAAAGTGCCAACAGACAGATAGGCTTCAACGGGAAGGAAAATCTCGTTCCAGATAGCAGTTAGCTGATCCAGGTGCGATCCATGGACGGCAGTCACTGTTGTGCCACATATCGTCGTTGGAGCCGGCGCAATCGGGAATGGATGTTGATTTAGGCGACCACATTGCCGAGTGTTACCTGCAATAGATTCAAAGCGCAGCAGCCGAACTATTCAGACTTACGATACAAAGGTCACCTAATGGCACTTTGCAGAATTTTAACTTGTAAATAAACATCAGCGCTTTTTTGATGCGTCGAAGTTTTAGACTGTCCCATTTCAGCTCTTTCAAACGGTTTTCATACTGCAAAGGGTCGCTACCGAGGCGCAAAGTTTTTACAAATCTACACTGACATTTTTCGATGATTTCGCTAGATTTTTTAAGCACTGGATGTACGCAAGATGCACAATAATCAACAGCTGATAAAACCAAAGATTCAAACAATTTCATTCTTGCACCAGAGTGCAGGTACTTAAATAACCGATTTATGCAGCCTAACCGTCTGGTACATTTCAACAAAAGTTTTTCACTGTTTTCCTTCCAACTCAGTTTCCGGTCGACTTGAACGCCTAGATACTTAACGACATCGTTAGTTGGTATGTCACTACCATTAATACGGTACTTGTTACAACTTTGTATACTCCGCCTGGCAGAAAAACAAACATGAACAGATTTTTCGGCGTTAAGCGCTAAACAGTTTCCAGCAAGCCAATCGTTAACGCACAAAATATCTTCCTGAAGCAACACATGATCATTATCTTTAACAATAGGACGAAGAATTACAATATCGTCAGCAAACACATACACTTTACTACCGTTTCTCAAAACGGATAAAATAAAGTTAAGTACGCAAATGAACAGGAGAGGGCCGAGAACAGACCCTTGAGGAACACCACTAATAACAGGCAGCGAGTCGGACAACGCATCTTCAACGTAGACACGTTGAATACGTCCTTTTAGGTAATCGGAA